TTCTTCTTCTTCTTCTTCTTCTTCTTCTTCTTCTTCTTCTTCTTCTTCTTCTTCTTCTTTTCTTTTTCTTCAAATGGTGTCTTTAGATTTTCAAACAAAAATACAAGAGACACTGAGAAGGTTAGAAAAGAGTTTCCACATGGCTACAGGTCATGGCTGCTATACTGGGGGATGTGCGATCAGTCATTCCTTACCAAACAACAGATCGTAAGTTGAGTTTTCAGAGAAAACAGACCATGCCGGGGCAGTGTCCAGGCTATGCCTCTTAGCCTTCAGAGACTCAGGGCAGGCTAAGGCAGAGGTGGGGGAGTGGGTGAGACCACTCGGCACTTTCATTTCAAGTTAAGACTCACGAGAGCATTTGCTGACTGAAAAAAACCTTCAGCAGGGGGCTGTGGCATATAAAAACAGCGGCGGGGGGGGGGGGGGGGGAAAAAAAAAGCGGGGGGGGGGGGGGGGGGGGAAGAAACAACTTCAGAGGTTTTTAATCTGCTAGGAAAGATGCCTGCGCTGGTTCATATAAACATTAGTGCGAGGACACTATGGTAGAGGTCGCGATTTACTAGAGGGGTGCAATGCATGTGGACTTGGTCTATGAACTAAAAAGCAGACTTCCCCATTACCTACTGCTTATAACTGCATCTTCTTTCAGAGCTGTGAGGCAGGGTACAGCTCACATGTCATCTCTCCTAGGAAAAGATCCAGAAGTCTATGGCAGAACATGCCGACTCTAAGTGCTCTGCTCACTCGAGATACTTTTCTCATACTGTGTTTGGTTTAACCCCTGTGCGCTCCATAGCACAGACCTAAAAGAACCCTTAGAAATTAGAAAACCTATAAACACACAGGAGACAAATACTACACACCTTCTTGACAGTGTCCTTAGCCACATTCCGAGTTTGTGTAATTTTTAAAACTCACTGCCTGGCCCAGATCAAAGATGAAAGTATTTTAAGGAATCACAGGACAGAGTGGTTTTTGTTTCATTACATAGTATGTGAGGCATCCTTAAGGAGAAGAGCTGATAAGATAGATGATTTTTTTTTAAATTGTGTATTAGTAACATCATCAGATCTAAGCACATGATTTCAGAAGCAGTGAAAGGGGACACTGAGCTGCTAAAGCCTCTACCATGCATTGAAGCTTTAAGAGCAGTCACACCAATTAAGAAAAAAAGCACTACCACTGGGAAGAAAACCTCTGCTCTTTTCTTTGGCTTCCTGTAGGGTTCACTCAACAAGGGAGGCAAAGCACTTGATTTCAAGAGGCCCAGGAAATCTGCCATGCCTCAAAATATCTTCCTTTCCACCTGTCATGGAGCTTGCCATGCCGTATTTAATAGCCACTCCTTCGGTGGAAAGGGGCATCACCTTGCTATTATTACAGTCTAAGTCTGGCCCTCTATCTGTGTGCAGGATCAGATTTCTATGAGACAGCTGACATTAAGGAGTTCAGAGATAGAGAACTGAAGCATCATCCCTTCCCGGAAAAGGGGATCTAAACAGGTTTTCAGTAACATAATAGCCAATAGGATTTATTGTAAGTACAAGTCATCAGTTTTGCTACAGTAATTAACCACCTTGCCTTTTGGTTGTTGTTGTGTGTTTTTTTTTTTTCAGCTGACATTGATGACATGAAAATATGCTATGTCTTGAGAGAGAGAGCAAATGCCACAAGTGACATGTTCAATTTCATAGTGGAAGATGACGGTAAGGATCCCATTCACTGGGTGGCCTTTTTATTGATTTATTTTGGCTGCTCCTTGACAACATTGCTACAAGAAATCTTTATCAGGTGTTATTTTGTGTTCATTTGCTTTTATGCAGAGTGGGTTTTGTGTCTGTTATGAAGAGTTAGTCACTTTAAACTGGCAGAATCCCACTTTTTAGTGGATATGGGTAAATGTTATAATGTTATATCGCTTCTGTCTTGTGGTTTGTAAGGGAGACAGAGAAGAAAGAGAGGAGGAGAAGGAGAAAGAGAGATCTGTATAGACAGGCTTCCTCTGTCCAGTTGTTAAGATTACTCAGGCAGCAGGAAGATGCTGGAATCCATCCCTGCTCCCATCACAGCTCACCCTGGTGTGTCTTCTCCAAACGGGCTGCCCTTTTCTAATTTTCATTTGGGTCCTGCCTCTACTCCACAAGAACTCTGTGATAAATAAACTTGGCTTTGTAGCCCCACTATCAGGGTATTGAATGATCTTAGCTTGGGGGATTTTTGTGAGTTGGTCCAGCTAAAAGGTTTCCTAGGCCAAGCTTGAAGAACCCTGCAGAAACTGGTATGTGCCTTTCTACCTGAGTCTTCTAGACAAGAAGCAATATTCCTATCACCCATCCCAGGCCTGCTTCGGTTTCACATGGGCAGAATATTCTAGAGATATCCTTCTGTACCTTCCTAGCCACAAGGGTAGCCTATAGGACTCAGCTTGATCCTGGCAAGTGACTATTAAACAGAATGTACTCGAACCTCTCAGATGTAAGAAAAGTTCCTTTTGACAGATTAAACAGGAGTATGCAAGACTGGAACAGCAGAAAGACGTTTGTGTATCTTATAATTGACTCCACTTGGTTTTTAAACGGGGTTTCATGTTATCTTGCAAATGGTCTAACACTTGTAGGAAGTAAGACACAAAGGGCAGGAATATCTTATATGTCCTGGTGAGATGGACACAGTATGAGCCTCAGTGACCCTCTGTCTTATGCAGAGAAGGTACATACACTGCTAAGTCATCTAAGGAACGTGTCCTCAGCTTCCGGTATCTCACACCTGGGCAGCTGTCAGGCACCGCTGCCTAAGAATATAAGCTTTCAATGTCCAAGTGTCTTTCCTACCCACTGAAGTCACCTTCTTCACACCCACAGGGTTGTTTTTAGAATGGCAACTAGCTAAGGAAGTTCTGTGACAAACCCAATCCTCAGCTCTTTTTAAAAATAAACTAGAATTTTGTATCAAGGATCAGGAAGAGGAGAAGTCATGATTTGAAAGCAGAAGCCTAAATCTTCTTGCTTCAGGTTTGGTCGTGCGTGGTTAGGACCTGGCTGGTCACAGGATTCTCCTGTTACGATTGGTCACGAGTGGGTGACCATTTACCATTTAAGAAATGGGTCGTGGGACACACTCCTGACATTTTGGGTTTGAAGAGCTTTGATGTTAATTACCCAGTAATGGGAGGGAAGATTAGCGAGAAATGGATAGTGGTGGATTTTACCTCAGGAGGCCCCTACTGTCTCAGTGCTTGAAACAATGATGCTGTTCAGAGTTCTTTACTGTTCTTAAAGAAGCATTTTCAGAAAGAAAGTATATTGTCTAAACAATCCCACAACTTAAAGCTTAAAGAGAAATAATCATTTTTCTACGTGATGTATCATAGAACACACAAGCATGTACAAGGTTCTTAGATCTCCCAACTAGACTTTAAACCTTCTATATGACTGATTGTTACCCATGCAATTTTGCTTCCACCACATCCCTCTAAGTTTAGTAAGGAAACTGAGTCACAGAAATAGGTAACTAGCCTCTTCAAGTTGCTCAAGTAGACAAATAAAGGTTGAACTGAGTCCCAGGCTCCTCCCCCAGACAGTGAGAACCCATGGCCTCCCCACTCTTGACAGATAGAAGAGAGCAGAGACTCCACTCTGCATACCAAGCTTTCTGGGAATTCCGCTCAGTAAGGTATGAGTGGAATCAGAATTCTGTCTGCCTATGGATAGTACAGAAAGCAGAGTGTCTTCTAGATTGTTCATTTTTATTCCAAAATACTTCAGATGTCCTATGGTCCTCAACTCTGTAGCCCTGTTCCTGTTACTCCAGTTTATTTCTTGACACTGCAAGGTACTCCAACATAAAAGTGGTCTGGGAACCTTTGTAAATTTCTCTCCAAGGAATTACTCTAGCTGTTTATTGTGATGTGAAGCCAGAGCCAAGTAACTGTTTCAGGTATGTTCCACCTTCACCCCTAATGACTTAATCTCCCTCAGCTCAGATGTCATTTCCTCTCCAGATCTGTTCCCTGTGCCAGGAAGAGGAGTTAGCCATCCTCTTGGTGCTTTATACCCCTAGCTTTACTTACAGCAGGAATGTCCTGTTGTGACAGTTAGCTCACCTTGTGGGACTCCATCACCACAAAAAGAATGCCTTTATCCCAAGACAGCCTTTTCCCCTCAGAACCTACTCAGACTTGAACATGTGGCACTTACAGCACAAGTGTTAAAATGAATGAAGCCAAAGGTAAAACAAAAGCCCTTCGTTTTGATGCAAGAATTGATCAAATGGTACCCCAGGAGAAGTCTTGTAGTGGTTTCCTGTGGAACCTTGGCATTCCTTGAAAACATTCTCTTATTCTAGCTTTAATTTAAATCCCCACAGCACTGAGAAGGATTCCCAGCTAAGCTTCCACATTTACAAGCACAAGGAAACAACCACTGTGAAGAGTGATCTGAATTTTCAGTGAGGTGAACATAGGATAGGAAGTCCCCCAATTCAGAGTTCTTGTTACTATTCTTAAAGAGGCATTTTCCAAGGGAAGAAATATTTCTGGTCTATTGTGTAAACAACTTCACAACTTAAAATTTAAAGAGAAATGAGCACTTTTTACATTACTAAATTTCTAAGGCCAGCCCATAATTTTCAGCAAGTCCTTTTCTGGTTTGGTCACCCCAGTTTATATATATTATTTTGGGACATGTGAGACAGTCAATAGCTAGAGAATTAGAAAGCTGTCTTCATGTAAAGTATGCCCAAGACTTATTAGAGTGGTGCTGTCTCTATTTTTTTTTTTAACCACTCATTTTTTGTTGTTGTTTGTTTTAAGTCTCAAGATCTCTGGCTCTGCTCCAGGATGGTCGTGGGAGACTGGGGGCTCTTGGAGGAGGGGTCAGACTCATGGCCTCCTACATGCTTGGCAAGTGCTGCACCACTGAACTACATTCCCCTAGAATGTTTCAAGATGAGCTAAGATTAGGATATGTGACCACATGGCTTAATAAGCAATGTAAGAGGAACATTATTTTATTCTTCATGAAACTGGTTTGGGTTGTCACTTCCTCCTCCAAGTTCTCATGTGTCCCAGGCATGCAGTCTAACTCAGCTCCGCACTCTAACTCATTCCTGGCACTGGAACTGGATAGCAGTTATTATAATAGTAATCGGTGATGGCTATTATAATATGCCTGACCCACAGCCAGGTCATTTTGTTGTTATTGTTGCTACTGTCTTTGAATATGCTTTTTTGGTGGCCAAATTCCCATCCTCCCAGATCTTTCCTTCATGAGCCACTGAGAGATATAAATAGTACCTTGAGATGGTAAAGTCACAATGTCATTTCTGTCTATGAAACGTCAGTTAAGGTCAAGGCTTTTAAGTTTTTAATTCAGCAAATTAAATACTCAAATACAAAAGGTCATGGGAACCTCTTTATTCTGGAAAGAAGGAACAGGAGTTTTGACTCAAAGCTGGCTGTCACTTCAAGATTGGAGGCAAAATAATTATTACATACTAGCTTGAATTTAAAGTAAGGGCTGAAAAATATAAATAGGTACAAAGTGTAGGAAAATGAAATTGTGAGTACAGGCATTGGAAGGTAGGCCTGACGTTGAGCCTACCTTGTATTCTGGGCTGTAAAGTCAATTGCTAATGGCAGGAGAAGCAGAGGAAGGGTGGGAGGGGGAGAGCCAGGGCCTTAATTACATGGTGGTGAAGCAATGCCAGGCACTGGTAAAAATTGCTTTAAACATGGACACAATACAAGGGCCAAAATCTTGTGGAGGACTAGCTACTGTGGCTAATGTTTGTAAGCCCTTCTTCATTCTTTGAGCAGTCCAGAATAGTGGTGCAAGTCATCAAAAGTCTCTCTTTGGTGTACTGTTGCCTTCAGGGAATGGCTCTAAAAATACACCTGCTTAGCATCCATGAAAGAAGTTACTCTTCTGGTATGAAAGTGCAATTCAGATTTGATCAGCTGTCTTTACACACATCCCCAAAGTCCACACCATATTAACACACGCCTGGCTTCATTTCAGAAGGTAGTTTACTTAAATCTTGAAAACTTTGACAGTGACAGTGATTGAATCCCTATAGAGAAACATGAATCCGTATTTACACCCAAAAGAAATAATGGTGCCCTTTAAAAGCTAAGTAAAATTTTCTTTCACGGGGAACCAAAACACCGTAATACCGAACCAAATGTTTATCTGTGGTATATGTTCTAAAGCTCAGTGCTATTTTATTCTATATCTTGTGTGTTTGTCCTGTGTGGCTGAGACAAAAGGAAAGGCTGGTTTCCATGGTCAAGTTTACAATGTAATCAGTATTATTATGTATTTTGTAGAGCCAAAGAAATGTAACCAGGAAACTAAGTGTGATATAGAAGAAAGGCCAGAGATTCTATGGTCAAACTTATTTGCTATAAAGAGTCTTTGTTTCTTTATTTACTTAGTCAACAAATGCTTTTGATGTTCCCAGGGTATTTCCAGTGTTTCCTGGGATGTTGGAAAACAACAATAAATACATACATATAAATTTATAAATATATATAAATAAATATGTTGACAGTCTGACCTTGAATCTATGCTGAGGCTAAAGCAACAGACAGAACATTCTGGAATTTATAAGGTAGAACTGCAGCTCGGAGAAAGGTCTCTCTGCCGTGAGATGCTTAAACTTAGGCTTAGTATAAAAGGAAGTACTGCAGGAAGAAGAGGGAGAATAG